GTAAAAACATAGTTCCAGGAAATGCACTTGAACTGCAGCAGCGTGTATAAGCTGTGAATCTATTTGTAAAATGCAGTGTGTCGAGTTATCACAAAAGAATAAATCTAGTAGCAAAAGGTTGGACTTTTTGATAAAAATTATCTTTGTTTTTTATTTCAAAGCATTTCTTCGAGCTCAGTAGTTCACCATGCTTGCAAAAGCTGTTATACTTTTGCTATGTATTCTTGGAGCCCTCTCTTCTCTGCCTCAGGAAAACACTCAAGGACTCCCAAACACTCAGTGCTCAATGGAGGAACAACCAACCCTTGGAGAAATGAAGTCCGTCTCTTGTCTACTGGAGTCCGTTGTAATGGAGCCTTTGAAGAATCCTGCTATACAGAGCTTCGATTTATTTCGTCAGAATATAAACTCACCAGAAGCACTGACAGCTTTCATGCAAACACTCCAGGATTGTGTAAGCTAAAAATAATAGTTATAATTCAGTTTTACTGTGTATGTAGTGTATAATTACTGATAATTTTTTAATTGCATGATTTTTGGAGCTGCTAGCATTATTATCAATCATTGTTTGTCTTCCTGCACATTATAATAGCAATTAAATATTAATTATTAATATTGTTTATTTATTTTCGTTAAATGCATGCAAACATTTTCACAAATTCTCTCTCTCTCTCTCTCTCTCTCTCTCTCGCACACCCAATAATAGAATTGTCTTGTTCCACCTCAACACACAAATGAGTATCATTCCAGCCCAGTATATGGTACAGGGCCTCATGTTACAGTCAGACAGCTCTACGATACAAGGATAGATCCATCCACCATTGTGTTTCAAGAGCGCCAGTATCTTCCGGAGCCTATTGTCAATGGCAACAAGACTGCATCCCTAACGACGGAGTGGTTGCTAAAAGACCATATAAATTCATTGGAGGGTTTTGTGAGTTATTTTTCTGAGCATCAGGGCGACAGTGAGTGGAGCAATCTCATCAAAGTTGCAGTGACATTGAATAACTCTGTATTGCCTTTGATCAACTTTAACGTAAGCAAAAAAGAGAGAGAGAATGATAGAATGCAATAGAAATAGATATTAATATTTTACGCTTTATTTTATGCATTCATTTATGAAGCACCAAATTATTTATTTTAAAAAATATTTTTTATAGTTTTCGTCACAGTGTCCTCAAGACAAACGTGTTCCCAATTTCTCTGGTTTCCCCTCCACAAGTTGCGAGCTCAGATGCGCCACCTGGCATTTCAACTGGACCGTTCAAGGCCTTTACTATGCTCTCGGGAACCAAGTGATATATCCCCCAGCTTCTCCCATCCCTCAGTCTCAGACTGATGCTTATCCTGAATTGGAGGCGTGGGTGGGTATGGATTGCTGTGATGCTACTCCGTTGCATTCGATGAGTGTTTATGATATGAGGAATTTGAATTGTGCTGTTGAGCTTGTTGGACTTGAGGCGTATGAGATGTTTGAGCTCTTGGGCGCAGAGGTAATGTAATAATAATAATAATAATAATAATGATGATGATAAGTAAAAATTGATTTTCCCTTTTCCTTTTGATCTCAACGATAATAAAGTAAATAAATAAATAATGAGTAAAGGAGTAAATAATTGCTGATCATTAGCTGTTTATTTATGATTTTAGTCAAAACAACGAACATTCCTTATTCTAAGAAATGGATTCTTTGTTGATTGTTACCTTTTTCAACATTTTTTAGCTTCATACATAGACATTGTTTATTGTTGTGCAGAAAGCTTGAGCTCATTCCAATCAAAACGAGACACCTACGGTGCATGGCCTCGCCCCTATAGCTGCTATGGTGCATGCTTGCACTTCAATAACTGTTTGATTATCAGCATGAAGAGAGTCTGCTTAACACTAGCTTCCTACAGTTGCACTTGCTCTTGAATACCTGCAGAAGTAGCAGCACTGCAGCACATACATATGCAAGCAGCTCCAGCCCCTCCCATGCATGTAGATTGAAAGGTGTGGCATTCCATGACTGGATCCTGGAATGAGTGTCAGCAAGAACACCATGTGAGAAAGAAGCTTCAATTTTTCTTTACTAATCAGCAATATATGATAAACTTGCTGACAAAAAAGTTGCTGCCTTTGTATATTTGAGATAGTATAGGTACTTTAGTACCAATAACCCAGCAAGTTGTTGCTTTAGCGCTGCACAAACGAGTGACCTCAACAATTTCAAGTAAGTATAACTCTTCATCAAGTAAGATTTAGAGAAATCTGTTCATA